AGTGTTCTATTAAAACGCTCGACAATTGATGCCTTAAGAGTGCTGAACGTCGAATACTGATTTATTTCATAACGTTTCATTAATTAATAACCCTTGTTAGATGTTGAATAACCCCCCATTTCAACCAAATCTGCTTGCCACAGATCGTTTATTCCCTTCGTAATGACTCGTCTTCATTGAAAATGTCCGTGCAAACCATTTACAATTACTCGTTTAATCATATTCTTCGAATTGGTGTATAAGCTACACCTTCTATTTCAACTGTTGTCTTTTTTGGTATCGCTGTCGGTTTTGTTACATACTTAAAAATATAGTCCTCAATAACTTTTATCTTTTTAAGAACTTTCTTAAATATGTATCAGTTCTATCTGCTCTCTTGTTATAGACCTCCATTTTATTTTCAAGATTTGAAATTTTTGTAAGTCGACGATTAATACTTTGACTTACAAGTTTTTTTAGGTCTTTCCCCAACTTTCTGACACACTCATCTGTATATTGTTTTGTGGTCAAGTCATTGTCATCTAAGGGTTTAATAGCGTTTTTAACTCTTTTATTTTGAGCGTTCAGATTACCATCAGTATCAATTAAAAAAAATTCATTTAATTTAACACCTCGTCTTAAATTATCTTATCGCTCCCTATCATTAGAAAAATGTTGAAACTTGTCAACAGACATGATGATTTTTGTGTTTAATATATATACTCTAATTAAACAATAATTCCCTCCTCTCGCAGTTCCTCTACTATTGAGAAAATCTCATTATTGTGATTGTTGTTACCCGCTTTTTTTGACGCCCCTAAAATTTGTAACCGTTCGACTAGTTCATTCACATCATTCCAATATATATAATTTGGTTTTGATTCCTCCAGAGTCATATAACCGAAATCAGTTTTCGTACGAAGAGGAGTGGATGTCGTAGGATTTTCATTATCGTTTATTATTTTTTTAATAATTTTAGTATATTTAAATGCGCGGGAACCTTTAATTCGATTATTCACGTTATAACCTAATCTGTGAACACTTGTTTCCAATATAATATTTTTATATATTTTCGAATCATGATCATTATAATTTTGGGCTTGTTTATGAAATATAAGAGAGTACAGACCAGGAGTTAGCTCGCAACTCATTCCACTAGACAAATGAATCTTATTATCATTAATTTTTAGTTCACTATTCCCTAATGTTAAAACATCATCTAAACTATTTTTCGGTCCGTAAGCCTTGTCCAATATATTTTCCCAACTCAAATGACTGATATTAAAATCATAATTTTTTTATATATCTCGTCTTCTATATTTATATCTTCCCTCATTTCATTTTCTTTTGTAGCCATTGATATAGCTTCCGGCTCACTCCCTGTGTCCACATCAGCATTATATGTTTCGCCTTTCTTTCCTTTTTCAAAAACATTTGTTTGTGAAAAGAAATCATTATACGAATCACTATTATTCATAGATCGGTGTTGAGATAAGTTTCTTTTTGTCTGATGTTGTCTCCCATTAGTTGTATAGTACAGATCATTGTCATCTGTCATATCATTCTCATACTTTTCATTTTCGTATAATTCACGTTTATCCTTGGCTCCTACATTTGTTTTTAAAAATGTTTGTTTTTTATTTTCGTTAACAAGTTCATTTAAAGGTTCTGCAATAGGTTTAAATGTTTCCTCCAACTCTATAACACTTTGATTCTTTACATGTTTTAGGTCATCAAACTTTCTCTATAAGGCAGATCTCGCTTTTGTTAACTGAGTCAACACATTCATTATTGAAACCTGCATAAATTTAGATAAAGTAAATTTTAAAAATTTATATAATCTTTATGTAATCACTCTTCAGTTACTCGATCTATACTGTTTACTGGAAACTATAACTTCTAATATTTATATCCACCCATCCATCCCATGAAATAAAAAATGTAATGTTTATATATATTTTAAAATTGTATTTTTTCGACGTAATATAAAATATTGGTTTTTTATTATTTATTTTTTTTTTTATATTTTATTTACTTATTTCTTAATATAAATTATCATTCTTTATATTAAATTTCCCATCAACAATTTCCTCAATAAATTCCTCCCGAAGAGTAAAGTAATCCTCCAACTCCAGAACAAGGGATTTTCCAATCTTCGTCCTTTTCCACTCCGCCTTGAAGATGGGGAACTTTACATTTTCAGGCATCCTTGCCTTTGATAAAATAGATTTCTTATTACATCTATTGAATTCTTGAGTTACCGTCTCAAGCTTTATTCGTTTTGCATTATGTTCAACGTCAATTGGTATGAATGCTGTTTCTGTGGCATTATCATTTTCATCGTTCTTCTCGTTGGAAAAGCAAACCAAACTTGTCGGATTAACAGGTGTCTTCCTATTATCCTCGTCAGTAGGATCGAATTCGACTTCTGCAGTCTCCTCGTTCTTATAGTTGTTGTTCTCCATGTTCATTTAGCAGTTGTTTAGCAGTTGTTTTTTATTGTTTAACAGCTGTTTTTTGTTGTTTTTTGTTGCTTGTGTTGTTCAACAGTTTTTTTTTTGTTTAGGAGTTGTTTTTTGTTGTTTGGCAGTTGTTTTATTTTTTTATTCAGTTGTACAACGTCTGTTGAATGTAAAGTCGAAACTTGGACTGAGAATTTTGAAGTAGGCAGCCCCGATTTTTATACCATCCAGAAGTCACACTTACAAACGTATTTACGACACATTTGTTTTAATCTCGACCTAAGTGTAAGCCAATCTAAACGATGGCTTATTGATTCACTCCATTGGCAAAGGAAAGTAGAATTGAAAGACATAAATGACCACAGTTGTATGTATCAAAATGTTGAACTCTCTCGTAGTTGTATTGTATTTGTTTTCCCAAGTACTTAACAACTTCTATAGGTGGTTGTAGATTTCCGAAACTATCAAAATAATGTATATCATTTTTATTTTTGTTATATGCGACCCAATGTGTACCACTTGATTGTGAATCATCTAGATTTACTATACCACATTTTCGAATTCTTGGAGAGCGTGGAAGTAAATCTCGTCCTTTTCCACTCCGCCTTGAAGATGGGGAACTTTACATTTTCAGGCATCCTTGCCTTTGATAAAATAGATTTCTTATTACATCTATTGAATTCTTGAGTTACCGTCTCAAGCTTTATTCGTTTTGCATTATGTTCAACGTCAATTGGTATGAATGCTGTTTCTGTGGCATTATCATTTTCATCGTTCTTCTCGTTGGAAAAGCAAACCAAACTTGTCGGATTAACAGGTGTCTTCCTATTATCCTCGTCAGTAGGATCGAATTCGACTTCTGCAGTCTCCTCGTTCTTATAGTTGTTGTTCTCCATGTTCATTTAGCAGTTGTTTAGCAGTTGTTTTTTATTGTTTAACAGCTGTTTTTTGTTGTTTTTTGTTGCTTGTGTTGTTCAACAGTTTTTTTTTTTGTTTAGGAGTTGTTTTTTGTTGTTTGGCAGTTGTTTTATTTTTTTATTCAGTTGTACAACGTCTGTTGAATGTAAAGTCGAAACTTGGACTGAGAATTTTGAAGTAGGTAGCCCCGATTTTTATACCATCCAGAAGTCACACTTACAAACGTATTTACGACACATTTGTTTTAATCTCGACCTAAGTGTAAGCCAATCTAAACGATGGCTTATTGATTCACTCCATTGGCAAAGGAAAGTAGAATTGAAAGACATAAATGACCACAGTTGTATGTATCAAAATGTTGAACTCTCTCGTAGTTGTATTGTATTTGTTTTCCCAAGTACTTAACAACTTCTATAGGTGGTTGTAGATTTCCGAAACTATCAAAATAATGTATATCATTTTTATTTTTGTTATATGCGACCCAATGTGTACCACTTGATTGTGAATCATCTAGATTTACTATACCACATTTTCGAATTCTTGGAGAGCGTGGAAGTAAATCTCTCTATATACTCCTCGAAAATTTGGTATATATTTTTGAGCAAAAGTTGAAATGTATGAAGCCCAGATGGCGCATAAAAGTTAAAATAATGAATAATATTAGGAAAGTAAGGATAGCTGTAAGGACAATAATGGAGTCTATAGGATAGTTCGTTTTATAGTTATAAGTACTCGTTTTGTTAAGTTGATTAGTTAAGATAAAAAAACAAATAAAATTTGAATTTGAATCCGCGGGCGCGCCTTAGTGAACCACGAATGGTCACACTGCCGGGCCGAACGGGCACACCACATAAATGGATTTCCGGGAACGGGCACACTGACTTCAGCCACGGGGTATATAAGGAGGACCGGTTTCTGGGAAGAGTCACTTTTGCGGTGGATCTCACCCAGGTAAGATCAGCCCTATCTCGCAGATGGGCACCCTCACCAATACTAGTCACTTTTTGGTCGGATTTAGCCTAGGACTAAATCTAATACATTCGACCTCGGTCATACCGAGGAAGCACTGCCATCGGCCACTCGCCGATGCTTGCCCGCAGCAGATACACTGGATCACTGCCGGCACACCCGCAACAGCCTCACCAGGCTTTGCATTTCTCACGCGTCGGACCCCAAGGGCCACGCCAAGGGCCCGGAATAACTAAGATCTGTTCTATTCTTAACTAAACAAGCTGCGTCTTACTCGGGGTGAAATCTTCTTTGCAGCAACCACGCCTGACATCAAATTAAATGTTGGAACGAACTGCTGGTATCCGGTGAACTGTCCTAGCCACCCCAAAGCAGGACCGTTACGCGGCGCCCGAACAGGTTGAAGTGGTTGCAGGAAGAAGGACACCAAGAGAGTAATGTCGAGCTGGGTATACCAGGCTACGAAAGCAGAGCTGGTAGAATACGCGAGTGAGTTCGGCGTAGACCCAAGCGGAGGATCAGGGGAACTAAGACGATAGACACAAAAAGCACGGATCACACAGAGGAAGTCAGGAGAAGATTGATGGAGGTATCAAATAAGTACAAGAAAATGGAAATACCGGGTGGAGGAGTCCAGGTCGAGCCAGACCTGCACGGAGCACGGGATACAGGATGAAAGTGGAAACTCTAGACAGAGTGATAAGTTGGGGAATATGGTACCAGGGCACATCCAACCCACTGGAGTTCCTAGGCAAGATGGAGGAATGGGCCATGGGATATGGCATAGACAAGGATGCATTGGTACAGACGATGCCATTTATCTTGGAAGGCGCCGCAGAGGACTGGTGGAATACGACGCCAAGTCGGGTAAGGACATGGGAAGAGCTGAGAAGGGAACTCCTAGAGTACTTCCTACCGCCAAGGTATCAGGAGCAACTGGATGTGAAAATCGGACAACTACGACAGAAGGAGGGAGACCCAACTCGAACATACGCAATGGAGCTAAGAAAGCTGATGAGATTCACCATCTACTCGGAGGAGGAAAAACTGGATAGGATCTTCAAGAACTGTCGGAGCAAGATAAAACTATATGCACGAAGATCAGGTTTTGCGTCGCTATTGGAGGAAATTGAGGCGGCGGAAAGACAGGGACAACCGGCAGAGGCAAGGGGCCACAGACTTAGGCCAGAAATCTGTATGACATGGTGAGGTACGGGACATGCCACAAGAGCATGCGGCAACCCGCCTAGGCTATTCTGCTGGGTATGCGGAAAGAACGAGAAGATTACAACGGACTGTTGTAGAGCCCGGTCGGAAAACGATAGGAGGCTTGAGCATGTGACGCTGGCAGCTCAAGACCGAACACAAGGACCGGCGGGAGGAGAATGGATAATCTACGATGGATTCCAGGCAACGGCAGAGACAAAATTGCCAGATTCGAGCGGTCAAAAAAACGGTTCAGGGAGCACACCGACCAGCTGAAGCGGGCCGCAAAGAAGGCAAAAGTGATACCAGCCCGGGCCGCCGGTCCTGAGATAAGGATCCGGACGGCGCCCACCCGCTTGGGGATCCGGCGCAATACGCCCAAAGAACTAAGTCCGGAGGGCGAAGATCGCCGGAACCCGGAGAATGCCGAGGACAGTACGCCGGTAGAAGGGTTCGAGATAGAAGCAGGCCCCGACCACGCAAGACAGGCAAGAACCGAGGCACGTAAGGACTCCCCGGACCGAGACGTGTTGCAGTGTTGCGTCTCGGAAGGTTCGGGGGGAGAGACCGACGGCCCACCCCACGGGGAGGAGACAATGACGAATGACTTGGGGTGGACGGTCCCAACAGGGGTCGTCCTTCTGCCCGCCACAGTGGAACACATACTGGAGCGGTGGAAGAAGAAGCCGCGTGGCAAACAACAAAGCCTGTTGGTGCCGGAAGGGGCAGTAACTTGGAATGTACTCTTCGGCAGAGGCCGAAGAGTCACCGTCCGCCGAGCAACCCGGAAGCAACCCTCCTGGTGCCCAACGGAGGCGACACCCTGCAGGTCATCTTCGGGCTAGGGCGCAGGATTATGGTCAGATCGCACACGCCAGCCGCCAAACCAAAAGGGGGGTGGTATGACGCCCAGGTGGCGCATAAAAGTTAAAATAATGAATAATATTAGGAAAGTAAGGATAGGTGTAGGGACAATCATGGAGTCTAAAGGATAGTTCGTTTTATAGTTATAAGTACTCGTTTACAAATGTCTATATTTGAAAGTGGTCTATTGGGTAGCTGATATATTAGTTTTTTCGCTTCTTAATCCCTTACTTTATGGTTTTAGGTAGAATCCATAACCTGTTATATACGGTTTGAGATATAACCCTTCTCCTACAGCAACACTTTCAATTTTTCTATTATTTCGTTTCTTCTCCTCCATATCCTCTTTCGCCATTTTGGCGTTGTTTATTGTTTTTGCAGTTGCGGCACTTCCACTACCTAAACTACCGAGGGCACTCAGGGCAGTCAAAATAGGTACGATTGGTAAAAAACCACCAGTTTTGGGTACATTAATTATTCTTGGTACTTTCATGTTTTACTTTGAACCCACTGTCGATTGAACTGATTTTCGTGCAATTTTAATTGCACTCATAATGTCCAATGGCTTTTGTTTTTTTAATGTTCTAGTAGCAGCGTTAATAACAGTTGACAGATTCGTCATCTTTACTTTTTTCCTTGTCGTCTTCCCTTTACATTTCTTTTTTGTTTTTGATATCCCCATTCGAAATTTTTTGTTTGCTTTCATAATGTTGGTCACTAAATATGCTGCTGCTTTTTCACCAAGAGTACTGTCTGCTTTTACACGTGACCAAGCTTTATCAATTAATATAGACTCTGCAATGTGACGTTCATGTAAATCCTTTTTATAGGAATATGCTATATCATGTTCTTTACAAGCCTCATCTAGTTTATTTATTCCTTGATCACCTCGTTTCAAAAGTTTTTCTAACTGTGTACCCGGCCCACAAAATTTATATCCTGGTATATGGGCTTCAAACGGTAATGTATTAATAAGTTGTTGACAAGACCACCACCTCGTTTACAATTGAAAACATTAATTAATCGATTATAAAAACGCTTCCCCATTATATTGATGTTTAATCATCAAAGATTTCTCATTGAATGAGGAACATAAGCTTTAAGAATGCGTTTAATAAGTCAAAAACAAAAAATTATCGTTGGAAATATCAACGATGAAAACGAGAAAAAACAACCCCCACGACATAGTTCTCTCTTACCTAATACAATAAGAGCTCTTATTGTTGGACCTTCAAATTGTGGTAAAACCAACATTATGCTCAGTTTAATAGAGAGTCCAAACGGATTGAAATTCGAAAATATTTACGTGTTTTCTAAGAGTTTATATCATCCTAAATATGAGTACTTGGAAAAATTAATAAAACCTCTTAAAGGAATAAGATATCATACTTTCTCTTATAACGGTGGTGTATTAGACCCCAGTGAAGCAAAAAATAATTCTATTATGATATTTGATGATGTAGCTTGTGAAAAACAAGACAACAAAAGATCTTATTTTTATATGGGTCGTCATAAGAATATTGATTCCTTTTATTTATGTCAAACATATATCCAAATATCTAAACACTTGATTCGTGATAATGCAAACTTTATAATAATGTTTAAACAAGATGATTTAAATATGCGACGTTTATGTAGAGATCATATTAATACAGATATGGGGTACGACACATTCGTGGAAATTTGTGAAAAATGTTGGGAGGATAAATTTGGATTCTTGCTTATAGGTAAAGATAACGATATGGATAATGGAAGATATAGAAAAGGTTTTGATCAATTTATTTTGATTTAAAAAAGTTATTGGATTTGGTATGAAGGTAGACTAAAAACAAACATTTCCACCCTTTATCAACAGATTTCATTATGTCTAGATCAGTGACCTTGTCCTCGAATGGAAATAGTTCTGTTATAAATACAAGCTATTTTCCACCAATCGAATTGGATGGACGTTTTGAGTGTGCATTAATAGATTTTAATATGTACAATTCAATCCCAAATATAGACGAAAAAACAATCTCTTCCATATTGGAACCAATGTAATCACCATTCCTACTGGATCCTATAAACTAAATGATATAACTGATTATATTTATAAAAAACTTAAAGATTACGGTATTGAAAAATCTTTTAATATTGAAAGCAATAACAATACTCTTCAAGTGGAAATAACCAACAAGTAAGCAGATTTATGGGCTACTAAGCTGTCACATAAGTGATAAAAACATGGTTTCCCCCTCACCGAAACCCATTATCGGTCGTCTCCTGTGATAAGGATTCCCCCTCACCACCCTTTTAGTCAGTATGGATTCTGGCACAGAAATCATAAACCCATAAATTATAATTTTTTAAAATCAGTGCACGTGTTCAAAGAAGTAAAAAAATGTGACAATTGTGTCATAATTCGTTTTCCGACCCCCCTATCCGTAATTTGAGAATATTGAAATGTATTCCTGACCCTAATTAGAAGAAAGGGTTAAATTTTCTCAAAACACACTGTCAATTTCTATATATGTAAGCCTCTGTATACGTGTGTGCGTGTGTATGGTTGAGTGGGAACCCCAGATGTGTGTGGAAACCTGACATGTGGAATCGATGATGAAGATCCATGCTCGCACCGTAATAAAATGTGTGTTTTATTATTTCTCTCTCTATTTCAACACATAGATAAAAAGGATACAAGAGGTTGTGGTTTTTGTGTGTGTAGTCATTGTTTCACAGCGCTAAGTAATTTCACTCCTAATAAAGGGTCACTTCACACGCGTGCATTTGTAAACATCTTGTAAGAGCATGTTACGGCACCCGTTGCGCACGCGCTGAATGCGGTTGAGTTCCGGGGGTAGTGTACATCATAATTGATGAGTGTATATGTGTACGTGTGCAAGTGAGTCTATATATATGTATTTCCCTTCCCTTATTCATAAAAAGTAAGAAAACAAGTTTTTTTTTTTTTCGTTTCGCATAATACTTTTATTTATTAATTATTGATACAATGAAATTATTTTTCTAGCTCCATTCCTTCGATTTACGTAAAAGAGGCATGCGCATGTTTCCAACCTCGAATCGGTTTTACAGAATGTAAAGTGTTCACCATATTTCATTGTTTTTAGATCTTGTGCACCTTGATTCGTGAACATAATTTTGGTGTTAAGAAGGTATTGGTAATGATTTTCAAATATCCTCCCATGGAATTGTAGAAAAAAATTATCAATTTCTTCAAAAAACTTCATTATTTATCGAAATATTTGTTTGTGAAACAGGTCTTGTCACAAGTGGTCTCAGCTTCAAAATGAAGTGAATGCAAATAGATATGTTTCATTTATTTTTAACTACTTAAGATATCCTCGCGTTTGCGCAAAACTTTCGCCTCCATCGTACCAACAAATTTTATGATGCTTTTTTGTTAACCAGTTTGCAGTGGTTCGAGATTTTGTATTTAATAAAGTGAAATCATATGGTAGTTCTATAATAAAACTATTATTCAAGTTAGGTTTCTTTTCAACTACTATTCCAATTTCTTTAAGAATAAATTTATTGTTATTGTCAAAGAATCTTTAAATATCAATTGATATAATATCTCTAATCATTTTTAAGCAATATCAAACAACTCGTTGTACTAATCCGTTTAAGGGATTATATTCGACTAATCGATAGTATATGAGTAGGCAATAAGCTTGGGTATTTTCGTCACTTGGTGTCTTCAGTTCAGTTGAAATTCTCACGTCAATAGGACCAGATTTTACTGTTTCATTTTGATATAATAGGTCAATTACGATAATTGGAGCTTTCATTTTAAATTCCGATGGTGTTAAAAATGGTTGTGACTCATCGAATGGTAGTAACTAAATTGAAATCTTAAATACATTTCATATGGGTGAGCAAACTGATTCTTATTGAAGTCGACATTTAAATTATCATATGGGTATGATTCAGAATTTAAATGATAAATTATTTGTATTTATTTATTTATTTTATTTCAAGTTTGATAAATTATTTGTGACAAGTTTTCCGTTCAGTGTAAATCCAAGTATTGCAAACCTAGGTCTCTCCCGATTTGCTGAAAGTTTAACATTCCAACAGTGGTGTGTTCCTTGTCCTAATTTCGGGTTAACGTAGGAGTCCCAACTACGAAATGCAATAGG